CACCAATCTTGACCCCACATTTCTCCTCATAGAGCCCAGCCTCCCAGATAATCTGTTCTGCATACAGGTTGAAAAGTTATGGAGATAGGATGCATCCCTGGCATACGCCCTTCCCAATTTTGAACCATGCTTTTGTAGCAAAATAATATATATTTTATAAATAATATAACTTGGGGAAGACTAGAGAGCATTTGGCTGAGTGAAGTATCTCAGTCACATAAGAATTGTGAAAATAGGACAATAACTGAATAAGATATGGATACATTTTCAAGAGAAAGTGGAGAATGGGGGCAGAAAAAGAGAAAGGGGGGACTCACTTGTAATGGCAGAGGTTAGTAGAGGGTGGAGGGGGTGAAGTAATGGGAAAGATTCAATGGGGGCTTGAAACAATGGGATGACAATAGGTATAAAGCAATGGTAACTATGCAAAACAATGTATATGAATATATAAAGTACAAGTACAAAACACAAGGTATATAAATGATTACATGGAAATCAATAAATGTCTTTAAAAAAGAGTGAAATAATTAATTTTTAAATATTACTTTTAAATCTCCAATACTATAGGTCTGTTTATTAAGTATAATCTATTATAAATATCTTTGGCATAGAAACAGAACTTAATAATCTCGGGAAAAAGATGTATCTTCTCACTATGACAAAAGGACAATGTTGATAATGTTGAGTTTTTAAAATTCATTGACAATATTTTCCTTAAATTTTTATTTTATATTGGTTTGTGTGTATAGTATTTCACATTCTTTTTCATTCAGATTTTATTTAATACAGTCATTCCCAGTCATTGTTACTGTTATGCGTCATCAAGTCACTTGCAACTCATAGCAACCCTATGTACAATAGCTGTAAACCCTGCTCTAAACCTTATTATTCTGACACACCTACCTCCATTACCCCAGTCACTGAGTCAAACCATCTCATCAAGGGTCTTCCTCACCTGCGCTGTCCCTCCACCCTCCCAAGCATGATGTCCCTCTCTAAAAACTGGACCTTCCTTGCAACATTCCTGAAGTATGTCAGACGAAGCTTCAGAATCATTGCCTCCAAGGGGCAGCCTGTTTTCACCTTTCCTGGATAAACCTGTTTGTTTTCTTAGCAGTTCATGGTTGTTGTTGTTGTTGTTGTTATGTTGTTATGTGCCGTCGAGTCGCCTGCGACTCATAGCGACCCTAAGTACAACAGCCCTAAATTCCGCTCTGCCCTGTGCCAATCGCACTGTCTCCGACACTCCCATCCCAATTATCCCAGTCACTGAAGCAATCCACCTCACAGACGGCCTTCCTCTCCTGCGCTGTCCCTCCACCCTCCCAAGCATGATGTCCCTCTCCAAGGACCAGTCTCTTTTCACAACATGTCCAAAGTATGTTAGACGGAGCCTCAGAATCCTTGCCTCCAAGGAGCCACCTGGTTTAACCATTTAAAGGACAAATCTGTTTGTTTTCCAAGCAGTCCATGGTATTCTCAATACTCTTCTCCAGCACCACAGCTCAAAGGCATCAATTCTCCTTCTATCCTCCTTGGTCATTGTCCAACTCTCTGATGCATAACAAGTGATTGCGAAGACCACAGCCTGTATCAGACGCACCTTAGTCTCCAGAGAGACACCATTGCTCTTCAGTACTTTGGAGAGGTCCCTAACAGCAGATTTTCCCATGGCAATGCGCTTTTTAATTTCCTGGCTGCTGGTGCCAAGACTGTTGACTATGGAGCCAAGCAAACTAAAGCTGTGTATAATCTCAATCTCTTCACCATCCATCCTGATGCTGCCAATTGGTCCAGTGGTGAGAATCTTTGTCTTCTTGACATTGAGCCTCAATACATAGTGTAGGCTGCAGTCCTTGACACTCTGCAGCAGGCGCTTCAGGTCCTCTTCAGTTTCAGCAAGCAGGATTGTGTCATCCGCATAACGCAGGTTGTTGATAAATCGTCCACCAATCTTGACCCCACATTTCTCCTCATAGAGCCCAGCCTCCCGGATAATCTGTTCTGCATATAGGTTGAAAAGGTATGGAGATCGGATGCATCCCTGGCATATGCCCTTCCCAATTTTGAACCATGCAGTGCTCTGCTCTGACGACTGCCTCCTGGTCCAAGTATAAGTTTCGCATTAGAACGATCAAGTGTTCTGGGATTCCCATTCTTCTCAGAGTCAGCCATAGTTTGTTATGATCTACACAGTCAAATGCCTTTGCATAGTCAATGAAACACAGATAGACATTCCTCTAGTATACCCTGCTTTCAGCCAAGCTCCATCTAACATGAGCTACATTCAATATTCTTCTCCAGCACCACAGCTCAAAGACGTCAGTACTCCTTTTACCCTCCCGAGTCATTGTCCAGCTTTCTGATGTATTGCATAATTGCAAAGACCATGGCCTGGATCAGGCATTCATTATGTTTTATTAAATTAATCATCATTAAACTATGCCCACCATCCCTTGTCTTTTCAGGTCCCCACCACATCTTTCTCATTTCCTTTACACCCTACAGCAAGCATTCAATGCTGGCGAGGATGTGGAGAGGCGGGAACTCTCATACACTGTTGGTAGAATTGTAAAATGGTACAACCACTCTGGAAAACTGTTTGACATTTCCTCAAAAAGCTGATCATAGAAACTCCTATATACAACTAGAAATAGACTGTAGGGAAATTAGAACTGAGGTACAAATGGAGATTTGTACATCAATGTTCATGGAAGTGTCACTCACCATTGCAAGAATGTGGAAATGGCCCAAATGTCTAACCACAACTGAATGGATTGAGAAATTGTGCATTCACACAATGGAATACTATGTGGTACACAAGGAGCAATGATTCTGAAAAATACCACCTAACTTGGGAGAGACTGGAGAACACTACACCGTGTGAAATAACCCAGTCTCATAAGGACAAATAGTGCATAAAACCATTATTATAAAAATAGGATAACTAGTAAAGCATGTACGGGGACCCAAGGAGGGAAAGGTTGGGAGGAGATGGGTGAGGGTAGGTAGGGGCAAAACAACAGAGTTGTATAATTTTCCATAGGGATTACACAGCATCAACATTTCTAGCACTATAATTTCTTGTATAAATGCAAGATGTTGGGTTATTGCTCAAAACTACTTTTGTCAAAATTTTTTAACCAACGTGTAAGCTACTTTAATAATTTTTTCTTTGACAAATAAGAAATCCAAGATTATTCTAAGCCTTTTATTTCTTTGAGAGGCAAATAATGTTCTTACCTATTAAGAGAGGAGATTAGCCACACAACAGCTCAGATGCTCTGCCTGACATCCATACATCAGGACCAGTATTTCATAATCATTTTTTCATAATGGGGTGAGACACAGCCCAGAAAATCATTATGGAAATAAGAGCTTCTTGCGTCTCACTTAATGCCATATTTTATGGTAGAGGACAAATTTAATTTCTTTTCACATTTCCTATTTTCAGCTATGGATTGTTTTCCTCCCTTCTACCTTGCTCTTTCTTCAAAGGACGCACAATACCTGAATGCCAGAACCTATCAGGAAAGACGATTTACCACCAATGACATTAAATGTAGCAAAATTTGTTAAGGATGTGATTTATCAAAACCCCTAAAGAAAGTTCTAAGCCGCTTCTCTACAAAGAATTACTAATTTCTGTAGCAAGAAGCAGTTGATTCTCAGTTAATAACTAAAAAGGGAGCAAGAAAAAATTAAAGGGTTTTTTTCCTGCACACTACCTTGTATTTTAACTTAGAAAATAATCACATGAAGCATCGTAAATAAAATCTAACTGCTTCAATAAAGACCATCATAGCAAACTGACAAAAATCTCAGGGAAAGACTGAATAGAAAATCAAATAAACAAGTCCGCATAAAGAAAATTATCCTTTGCTTGTTTAATCTTTTCCTGGAAATCAATCAAGCTGGTTCTCGTGGGTAAACACAGCTAGTTTCTCAGATCTGCCTTTCTGTATGTGCCGTGTCATTAAGGGGAAAAAGCCTACCAGGTCATCAAAGATGTCCCTTTGATGCACGTGAATGGTGATCAAAGTCTCGTACTTCACCCGCTCCACAGAACTGAGCTCCTTGGTGGTCATGTCGATCAGGGTGTTCAGAAGATCCAGGAAGGACTGATTGGTTTTCTGCATCACTTTCTTATCGGACTTGGCATTTCTAAGAGCTTCTTCTGAGTCCCGTGTCCATATCATTTGAATCCCTAATAGTCCAACCTTAATGGAAATAAAAAGGCTTTATGAGTGTGTGTGACATTTAAGCAGAGAGTTCAAGAGGCCTATTGTAAGGAGTTGCGCTGCCAACCCAAAGGCAGGCGGTTCGAATCTGCTAGCTGCTCTGTGGGAGAAGGACGGACAATCTCTTCCCACGTGATTAACTCTGAACACCCACTGGATCGGTTCTGACTCAACGGTACACGGTACACAGCGACGGCATCTCTGGAGTCCTGCGGTGTACTCTTCGGTCAGTTGTGTTACTACCTCAGGCTGTTTCTCTCTAGTGCCTGGAATCCACCAGCTGCTCCAAGGAAGACAAATGAACAACCTTCTCTCATGTGATTTACAGCCTCAGAAACCCAAGGGAGGGTCCGATAGGAGTCAGTTCTGGCTCAAAAAAGAAAGGAGAATTGAGTTACAGCATGTGTATATTTAAGTAGAAATGACAGCATGGGGATTGAATTGCCGCTGACTGATAATGAACAGAAAGTTGCCTCATCCTTTACCAAGGATGTTGTTGTTGTGTACCAGAGTTGGAAGCGACCCATAGCTGACCTTCCAGCGGGTTTTCGGAGGCAGTTAATCGTACAGAATGAGATTGCCCATCCTTCTCCCGCAGAGCAGCTGGTGGCCTCGCACTGTGTGCCTTCAGGTTTGCAGCACAGCTTCTTGCCACTAGGCCACAAAATCGCCCTCAATAGCAACATAACAATGACTTGGGATTTTTAGTGGTTATAATGGTTATTATTGTTGTTGTTGATTGTCTTCGAGTTAAGCACGACTCATAGCGACCCTATGAATAAAAGGTCTGAGGCCCCTAGTGGTTATAATTAAATTAGTGGAACTACAAATTCAAAAGCAATCCTTGATTATATCAATTTGATGCTGCTGTTGTTGTTAGGTGTTGCCAAGTTGAGTACGACTCAGTGGCCCTATGAATAAAAGGTCTGAACCCAGTCTTGTCCTGCATCATCCTCACACTTCCTGACACACACAAGCCCATTGCAGCAGTCACTGTGTCAATCCACCTAGTTGAGGATCTTCCGGTCCTTCACCGACCCTCTACTTTTCCCAGCAGTATGTCCTTCTCCAAGGAATAGCCCCTCCTAGCAACATGCTCAAAATATGTGAGGTGAAGCTAGGTGCCATCTAGACAAGTACGGCTCAGAATAACCCTACGAACAACAGACCTGAACTCCGTCCTGTCCTGCACCATCCCTATCATACTCAACACACGTGAGTTCATTGCTGCAGACACTGTATCAGTTCACCTCAATGATGGTCCCTCTCTTTCACTGACCCTCCACCTTTCCAAGCATGATGTCCCTTTCCAAAGATCAGCCTCTCCTCAAAAGATGTCCACAATGTGTGAGATGAAGCTTCACCGTCTTTGTCTCCAAGGAACACTCTGCTTGCACTTTGTCCAAGATATATCTGTTTGTTCTTTTGGCAGTTCAGTTACAGGCAGGTAGAAAATACATCAGAGACTTGCTTTCTCAAAACCAGTGCAGCACGTCTACCCACAGGAGATACTCACAAAATCTTTATTGATCATAGTAACCCAGAGAGTACTATTCCCCGAATTTTCATGCCAAAATAGACTTCTCCTTTTTCTAGTAAACACTGAACACATTTTTAAGATCTGTGTACACTGTCACATAAATAATGAGGCTAAGTAGGAAAAGGCTTGTTGGAAGCTAAATACAACGTACTAGATGTCTCTACATCAAAATACATGCAGAAATTTACCAATACATGCACGGATGTGGCCAGAAGGGACCAGTCTTTGGAGAAAGCCATCAGACTTGGATGGGTGGAGAGACAGCAGAGGAGAGGAAGATCCTCAAAGAGATGGACTCACTCAGTGGCTGGTGTAATGGGGGTAGCTGTGTCAGAGACTATGAGACTGATTCAGGATAGGGCTTCAGCGGTGTTATAAACAGGGTCGCTGTGACTCAATGGCACATACCAACAGCAATAACAGAAAAAGCTATATAACCAAATACAGACAGACAGATGAAAAAATAACATGTAGCTAAAATAGGTAAGCTTGCACTGCAATCCCAAAGGCATGCAGTTCGAATCCACCAGTTGCTCCATAGGAGAAGGATGGGCAATCTCCTCCAGTTCAATTAACTGCTTCTGAAAACTAGAGGGTCAACTATGAGTTGGTTCCAACTCGATGGTAAAAAACAACAACAACACAACAGCAAGGAGAGGAGGCATCTCATCAAGATGGATCAACAAAGTGACCGTATCAACGGGCTCAAGCGTATCAGAGATGATGAGGACAGCACGAGATAGGGCAAGATTCCGAGGATCCTATGAGTCATACTTTACAGCACCTAACACCATCAACAACAACTTGGAAAAGCAGAGGGTTAGTAAAGGAGAAGAGGAACATCCTCGAGGAGATGGGCTGACACAGCGATTGCAGCAGAGGAGAGAGATTGTGAGGATGGCATGGGATCAGGTAACATTTTGATCTACTGTTCATAGTGTTGTTTGAGCCTGTGTCAGAATCATATCTACATAACTTTAGCATGGAACAACATGACTGTATAGTTAATAAACCCTCATGAAACTCTTGATATTGGTCTAGAGTTATTTAAGGGCCCCTTGTAAATCTTAAGACAGTAAATATTGCTATGTCAATGTCCAAATGCATGCACCTTAGTGCTCAATGCAGTAATTATTATAACAGTAAAGAGAGGGAAGTATTTGAAGTCTCTAACAACAGATGAATGGAAAAGCAGTCTATACACACAGTGGAATACTATGCAACAATAAAGAATAAAGAAGATTTTTAAAAAACACTGCATAACATGAATAAATTTGAGAACATTCTGCTGAATAAATTAACTCATTCACAAAGGAAAAATATGGTATAATCTAGTATGAATGTTCTATTTTTTAAAGCTAAGGCATCATTTACACATAGACCTAAAATGTTCTTTGATAAACTGCATGGTGCCACTGTTGTAAAACAGGACTGACCTCGAGGTTGGGGGGAGACTGAGAAAGATGGGTTCAATAATGTATACCGCATTGAAACAGATGAGGGAGAAAACTACTTAAAAGGGATATGTGATTAGGTATTTTTGTCATGACGGGAGTCCAGAGCGAAGGCTGCACAGTGGAGTGGATCTGGGGGGAGGGATTGTAAAACAATGAAATAATTTTTCTTTTACTTTTCCAAGAGGATAGTGTACTCAGGGGGAGGGTTGGGAGGGGACAAAAGTGCAACAATGAACGAATGGAAATCCAAAGTCTCTGTAAATTTTAATTGAAATTAATAATAAAAAAAATTTTTAATGTTCTTTGATGCTTATCAGTTATAAGAAGGGAAAGAGAGGGGAGGAAAAATCAGTAACTAAATACTAGAATGTTGTTGTTGTTGTTAGGTGCCCTCAAGTCGTAGACTACTCATAGCTACCCTATGAATGAAAGGCCTGAGCACTGTTCATAGAGTTTCCAGAGGCAAGCCATTTCGGAAGTGGATGCCACTCCTGCTTCTAGGCTTGTTTTAATGGAGGAGCTCCACCAAACACTGTCCACCATGGGGAACCATTATCACATATAGCGCATCAGTGTCACAGTGTTTAGCATCACAGCAACCACGAGTTACCTCTGTACAGCAATTCACACAGACCAGCGCTATACCACCTAGAAGAATGTTTGACAAGAACTATTTGAACCAGGCTTGAGGGACGCAGATTAAAATCACCCACCTTGGGCTTGATAGCATAACTTTCTGTCCACTAGGCCAACTGGTTGCCCTATGTTGTCGTAGTTATTGTTGTTAGGTGCCACCGAGTCATAGACGACTCATAGTGACCCCATGAACGAAAGGTCTGAGCGCTGTTCATAGAGTTTCTGGAGGCAAGCCATTTCGAAAGTGGATGCCACTCCTCCTTCCAAGCTTCTTTTAGTCAGGGAGCTCCGCTAAACACTGTCCACCATGGGTAACCATTATCACATTTGACACATCAGTGTCGCAGTGTTTGGCATCACAGCAACCACAGTTACCTCTGTGCAGCAATACATAGACCAGTGCTATACCATCCAGAAGAATGTTTAACAAAAAAACAATTTGAACCAGGCCCGAGGGCCGCAAAGAACCCTGGGTGGAGTCGTCCAGAACCAGCAGGGCCGCCTTCTCCTCCCCTCTCGCTTTAAACCACCACCTGCTTAAACCCTAGGCCACACCTCAAGGGCCTTGCTTCTAGGGGAAGAGCAGTCCTGCATGTCAAACACAAGCCCCAAAAAAAGCACACAACCCCAAAAACATGTGATTATTTGCACATGAGGACCGCCATGCTTGGGCAGCAAGAAGCCAGAGAGAACCCTGGGTGGAGTCACCCAGGGAGAATATCAGGCATAAATTAAAATGGATGGAAGGAAAAAACCATTTAAAAAATATGTCAGAGATCCAAAACGCCTCTTCTATGAAAAATACTTTCCTGGAAACACTGACCTGAGCAGGGAAGGATGACAGGAATTCAATCAGTTGGAAATCTGTTTCTTGAATATTTGCAGCTGCCTGGCGGATCACCTGATGTAATGAAGACTGAGATTCTTCCAAGAGAGAATTGAGCCAGGCTTCCACATTGCCCTCAGCCATCACAGGCTTCTCCAATTCAATCGTCTCCCCCTCTCGAGAGGAAACTGACAGAATGCGATCGTAGATCTGTGTTAGAAGCCAAGGGGCAAGAGTTATCTCCATATAACACATGGAAAGCAAGTTTTGACTTTCCCTCTATTCCCCTCGTGCCAATGATATCCTTCCTGTAGTCAATTAAGTGGCAGATACAAATAAAATATGACATAAAATCAATCAAAGCAATGAAAAAGTTAACCATGAAATCCAAAGAGGGATACTATCAACCCCAGATAGTCTATACTCAAGAAGAGAGACTGTTTTCTTAGAGAAATAGTTACTACAACTGGAGTGATTGAAAAATAACATTTCCAAGTAAAATGATCTTTTTTAAAAGTCTGTTATTGTGCTGATTATCTGGATGAGATTTAGCATTTCAAACTCTGTATTATAAACACACATGTTTTCAGGAGTTGGTAGTTGTTTGTGCTGTTGTTAGGTGCTGCCAAGCTGACTGTGACCCAGCCCTATGAACAACAGATGGAAATCTTGTCCTATCCTGTGCCATGCTCACGATCTGCATCAAGCCCAAGTTCATGGCTGCTGTCACTTGGGTCCAGCCACACCACTGAAGATCAGCCTTTCCTCCCATTACCCTCTATTTTTCCAAGTGTGATGTCTTTTTCTAAGGACTGGCGCTTCCTGACAACACACCCAGAAGGGTCATAATGTCTTTTTTTTTATCAACTAATATATTTTTGAGCTTATTTTTTCAGTGTAGGTTTACAAATTATATTTTTTTGTACTGGCCATCATAACCATTTTGTTTTATAACATTTATTATAATCCATTAATGTAGGAATTCCCAGAATGCTTGGAAAGGTGGAGGCTTGGCAAAAGAGAAGACCCTCAACCCGATGGACCAACACAGCAGCTGCAGCTCTAGTGTGTAAAAAAAAAGGATGAGGGGTCTTCTTCCCAGTTGCCGCGGAGTTGTGTGGATGCAGAGGCCCAGATGCATTCAAGATTCCTCTCCACCAGCAACGCACCACCATACCTGAGGAAAGTGTTGCTGCCGGAGGTGTAATGGATGTTAATACCACTTTACAAGAGGTGATAAAGACCTTCCTCATCCACAATGGCCTGGCAAGTGGAATCTGCAAAGCTGCCAAAGCCTTAGACAAGCGACAAGCCCCTCTGTGTGCCTGCATCCAACTATTATGAGCCTGTGGATGTCAAGTTAGTAGAGGCCCTTTGGGCTGAACACCAAGTCAACCTGATAAAAGTTGATAATAATAAGAAACTGGGGGTGTGGGTAGGCCTCCACAAAATTGACCAACAAGGAAAGCCCTGCAAAGTAGTTGGCTGCACTTGTGTAGTTGTTAAGAACTAGAACTATGGCAAAGAATCCCAGGCCAAGCACGTCATTGAAGAGTATTTCAAATGCAAGAAATGAAACCAATAAAGAACGTCACATATTGGGGGCAAAAAATTAATGAGGATGGCACAGGATAGGGCAGGGTTCAGATCTGTTGCTTTCAGCATCACTGAGTTGTACTTGACTCGACAGCACCAAACAACAATGCAAGTAATGAATGTGTAGTCAACATATTACTGTGTATTGTCTTCTACTGGTCATCTCCCTTCAGTTCTATGTTGCATGGCACAAGAGTAACAACACACTAATTGACTATTTTTAGTTCCAATGTACAGGTTCAAATGGTGTTCTGCCATCCCCTAGCCATGCAATAGCTCCTAGACTTAATGTGCTGCCTGTACTGTTGTTAAGCACTATTGTGTAGACTCTGACTCTTAATGACTCTCTGTGCAATAGAATCAAACCCTGCCAGAACCTGTGCTAGCCTCAGTTTCTGTGCTTAAGCCCATTGTTGCAGTTACTGAGAATAAATGTCCGTTTGCTAAAGCTATCCATTTGTGCTATGGTGTATGGTGACCTAGTGGTAAGAATCTGTGCTGCAATCTCAAAGACTCATGGTTCAAACCTACCAGTTGTTCCACAGGAGAAAGACAGACAAACTCCTTCCATGTGATTTACTGCCTCTGAAAACCCACTGAAGGGTCAGTTATAGGCTGATACCAACCCAATAGTAAACAACAACAGAAAAGTAAGACACCAAACAAATTCAGGATTCTATGAACTTGTTGGGGAAAGTCTGAGAATTATAAAATTATCAATAAGCAGGATAAAAAATAAGAACAATCACCATTCTGAAAACTTCTAAAATCTCATTGAAACAGTCAAATTATTGAGGCAGTTATGCCTAGTTAAAGAGTCCACTGCCTGCTGTGTTGATTCTGACTCAGTCACGTGTCAGTTTGTTTCTAAAAAAGGTTTTTGTAAACCCTATGGCACAGTTCTACACTGCCCTATGAAGTTGGTATGAGTTTGTTTAGGTAAGGTGCTATTCTATCTGCAATTCATATCTTCATGCTGCTGCATTTCTAGGTAGTTAATTAGCATGAAAAAGTAATGAACCGTATAGTGCCTTCATCATCATATTTCAATTAAAGTTCATGAAAAGGGTTGGAAGCAGGAGTGGCATCCACTTCCTAAATCATATGCCTCTGGAAACTCTAGGAACCTGGAGGAATGACAATAGTTACAGAAAGGCTGCCGGCCTTTTGTTCATAGGGTTGCTATGAGTCATGCTCGACTTGACGGCAATCAGCAACAACAACAACAACTTGAAAAGGGAGTTCTGATGGCATAGGCCTTCAGAAGGGGCACAGCCAGCCCAAAGATAGCACCAAATCCACCTACTGCTCAACTGGAGAAAGACAGGCAATCTTCTCCCATGTGGTTTACTGCCAGAGCCATGAACTTCTGGAGAGTCAGCTATGAGCTGGTTCTGACCCAGCCACAATGAGTTTCTTTTATAAGAGACCTATATGCAGAACAGATTATCCGGGAGGCTGGGCTCTATGAGGAGAAATGTGGGGTCAAGATTGGTGGACGATTTATCAACAATCTGCGTTATGCGGATGACACAACCCTGCTTGCTGAAACTGAAGAAGACCTGAAGCGCCTGCTGCAGAGTGTCAAGGACTGCAGCCTACAATATGGATTGAGGCTCAATGTCAAGAAGACAAATATTCTCACCACTGGACAATTGGAAGCATCAGGATGGATGGTGAAGAGATTGAGATTGTACGCAACTTTAGTTTGCTTGGCTCCATAGTCAACAGTCTTGGCACCAGCAGCCAGGAAATTAAAAGGTGCATTGCCATGGGAAAGTCTGCTGTTAGAGACCTCTCCAAAGTGCTGAAGAGCAATGTTATCTCTTTGGAGACTAAGGTGCATCTGATACAGGCCATGGTCTTCACAATCACCTGTTATGCATCAGAGAGTTGGACAATGACCAAGGAGGATAGAAGGAGAATTGATGCCTTTGAGCTGTGGTGTTGGAGAAGAGTATTGAGAATACCATGGACGGCTAGGAAAACAAACAGATTTGTCCTGGAAAGGGTTAAACCAGGTGGCTCCTTGGAGGCAAGGATTCTGAGGCTCCGTCTAACATACTTTGGACATGTTGTGAGGAGAGACCGGTCCTTAGAGAGGGACATCATGCTTGGGAGGGTGGAGGGACAGCACAGGAGAGGAAGGCCCTCTATGAGGTGGATTGATTCAGTGACTGGGATAATTGGGATGGGAGTGTCAGAGACAGTGTGATTGGCACAGGACAGAGCGGAGTTTAGGGCTGTTGTACATAGGGTCGCTATGAGTCGCAAGCGACTCAACGGCACATAACAATAACAACAGCAACTCGTGTTGTAGAACACATTGTGCTGTGCTGACCCGAAGGTCTATGGTTTGAGACCACGTCAGCGGGAGAAATATGGGTGATCTCCTCCCACTACGATTTACAGCTTCAGGAACCACCCGGAGCACTGTCCAGCATGGGGACTCACTTAACTGCAGCGGGTTTAGCTTTTGGGTTTTTTTCATTTGAGTCTGTTGTCATTGGGGGTCTCAGAAGGACCTAATGTAGGAAGTGTGAGAGGGAAAACTCTACTGCTTTTCTGAGAGGACAATTTACTTTCTATCCCTCCAGAAATTCTGTATGCTTCCATTGTTGTTGTTATTGTTGAGTACCAACGAGTCAGAACTAACCCATAACTGATCCTCCAGCAGGTTTTCGGGGCAAAAAAATCACACTGGAGGAAACTGTCCTCTTTCCCCCTGCAGAGCAGCTTGTGGGTTTGAACTGGGTGCCTTATGCTTACGTATAAGTTGAAATTCTTTTTAATTTTAAAAAGTACTTTACATAAAATGTTACCATCATGTCAGGTGGCAGAGGAAAACTGCCAGATAAGGTTTGCTCGACTGTGATCTTGAAGGAGTTAGAGCACCTGGTCTTTTTTCCCAGAGAATCACTGGATGGGTTTGAACAATCAACATTTCATTTAGCAACCAAATACTTACTCAGGGCTCCTTTATTCAAATCTACACCTCGGGTATTGAGAGGTCGCATGGCTCTGAGGACATACAAGCTTAGGCACTGATTAATGGACAGAGAAGTAAGCCTTTGTGAACACAACATCAACAAGGCTTAATAAAGACACTGGCACTCCTAAGATAGGATTTGCAGGACGGGAGTCAGAATCAGACACACCTTGTCATGGAATTTGACAGTCTTTATGTTGTCAAACACATTCAGCAAATGGGCTTGGATGGTGTGTGAGTCCGAGGCCTGGCCCAGAATCTCCAGAAGGGCAGGGTCCGAGACGAAGAAGAACCGAGGGAAGCAAAGACGTTTCTTCTCCAAGTATCTAGCAGAGGAAGAAGACGAGTTAACTAGACACATAGTATAGGTCTTTCTAGGAATAAATTAACCTGGATCGGGCACTGGGGCAGCTCAATTTATTTCTCACTCAAATTGTCCATGCTTTTAGGTTTTGTTTTACTACACACTCACGCACCACCATCCAGTTGGAACCGCCTCGCAGCTGACCATCCACTGGGTTTTTGAGGCTGTAAATCACATGAGAAGAGATGATTGTCTTTGCCCCCTGGGAGCTTCAGGTGGAACTGAATCACCAGAGTTACACAGTCTGAGTTAGCATTGAAAGTCCTAGTGATGAAGCCACCAGTTTTATCAAGTAATAGTTTACATTCTGATGTTGTCGATGTGCCAGCAAGTCAATTATGACTCACAGCGACCTTATGAACAATAACTCTGAACCTTGCCTGATCCTGAGGAAACCTCATCATCTCTGACACGCCTCTTCCTGTTGCCACAGTCACTGTGTCCATGCATCTCATCCAGGATTTTCCTCTTCTTGTGCTGACTCTCTACCCTTCCAGGCATGATGTCCTTTTCCAAGGACCAGTCCCTCCTGGCAACATGCCCAAATTATGTAAGATAAAATTGTGAAATATTTGCCTCCAAGGAGCAGCCTGTTTTCACCCTCTCCGGCACAGACTTGTTTGTACTTTTGACAGTCCATTGTATATTCAAGACTCTTCTCCAGGACATCAACACAGTCATCGATTCTTCTTTTGTCATCTCTTATCACCATCCAGCTCTAGGATGCATAGCAAGCAATTGACAAAACTCTGGCCTGGATCAGGCACACCTTGGGCTCTAGATTGACACTTGCTCTTGAGCACTCTGGAAGGAGATTTTTCTCATTTTCCCTAAATAGAATGTCTACATATACTTCAGGCAGGTACCCAGGAGGGACTAGTTTTGGAAAAGGATATAGAGCTTGGAAGGGTCAAGAGACAGAGCAGAAGAGGAAGACCCCAGATGAGATGGATTGACATAATAACTGGGGTAATGAAGGTCGGTGGGTCAGAGACAGTGAGCTAGATAGAGATAGCAGAACCCTGCTCAGGATAGAGCAGGGTTCAGACCTATTGTGCATAGAGCTGCTACGAGTCATAGTCAACTCGACGGCATATAACAACAACCTTATATTGTGCTTAATATAGAAATTTTTGTTCTTCCTTTGTTGCTGTGAAATATTGTCATGTCACTCGTGACTCCTGATAACCCTACACACCAGAGAATGAAACATTGACCAGTGCTGTGGAGAAAACAAACTTAGCATTAATATAAAGATTTTGGTTTTGTTTTGGTTTGCTTGTTTCTAAACACAGTGTTGTGTCAGCTAAAAGCTGCATCTCATTCCCAGAAATGTGTTCTTAAAAGGAGTCCCAGCAATCTCTCACCAGAGCAGAACTAAAATTCTGCTCTGAATGCACTAATGGAAAGACCTGGATCCTGCCTCTGGCAGGCTACTAACCGCATGAATACTCCTACCACCTCCCTGCTTCCAATTAGGCTCTCATCTTTGTATTTGCTTTCTTTTATGATGATTCCTTCTGCTTTAGGTATAGGGTGTTGTTGTTTTTTCCACATAGAACTTTATCTTCACTTTCTGGCTTATTTTATTATACAGGCATGTTTTATTGTGCTTTGCTTTACTGCACTTGGTATGTACTGTGTCCTTTTTACAGTCTGTGCCAAGCCTGGGTTGAGTAAATCTCCGGGGCTTATTTCTCCATCAGTGTGTGTTCACTTACACATTTCTGTGTCACAGTTAGTCCTTCTTACTGTGTTTTGAAGCTTTTCATAATGCTATTGTATACTTAATGGACTGTAAAAGCACACACTCATTGACCTCAAGTTGGAACAATCTCATCGGTGACCCTCTAATGAGTTTGGTTTTTTGTGGTGTTTTGTTTTTGGGGTGTTTTGTTTTGTTTTTTTAAGCAACGTGTTTAATTGGATGATTTCCATAAACTATACACAAATTTTCTAACCTTCACCATTCCAGTGAAGTACAAGACCGGCTGTGGAATAGAAGGTGCATCAACGTGGCAACTTCCTATCCTGGTTGCTTGTTGGGTGGGGAGTGGGGATGGTCTTTTATTTTTTAATACTGAGCCCCTCATTTCAATGTACAAAAAAATTACTCTGATTTGATATTAAACGGTATTGAAACAAAAGGGATTAAACAGCAAATATTACTCTATGTTGGAGTAGAGGTGGGGGGAAGAATGAGTCCTCCAAAGCAGGAGGGGACTCACGCTGCTCCATTTTTACTTTTGGTGGTCTCAGGAAAGTCTGATTTTTCTTCTGTTTCTTGCCTTTTCCCCACCCCTATGTCATTTTAATTTTTTTTTCCATTTTAAAAAGAGCCCATCAACAAACGACTGGATAGAGAAGCTGTGGTATATTCACACAATGGAATATTACACTGCACTGAAAAAAGTATCTCATGAAATATTATTCAAAATGGGTGACCCTGGAGGACATTATGCTGAGTGAAATATCTTTCTTGCCTTTTGTGTTTGCCTGGAAATTTCACCAGCTATTCACACGACCATCTCGACTTTCCTCAAAGTTTTTTCTGCCTCTCCCTCTCTCGTTTAGCTTTTTCTCGGCCTTCAATCTCTTCTTCCCTTTGTCACTTCCTTTCATGCATCTCTTTGGCTTCTCTTTCTTTTCTTTTAATTCCCAGTTTGGCAGAGAGCTTCATGGTCTGTTTGTACACTGCCTGTTTGCACAGATCCGGATCATCTTCTTCCACGTTTGTAGGTTTCCCTTCCTTCTTTAAGTGCTTTTATCACTCTTTGACAGTGTGATCCACACAGTCTTTTCCTGCCTGAATTACATCAGGGCACCCTTCTCTTGTTCCTGATCCAATAGCAACGTGTAAGCTTTGTCCACAGCTTTAAAGGCCTTTGTTGCTCAGCCAGCATCGTCTTGATTTTTGTCAGGAGGCACCAAGATAGATAACTGCCGAAATCTGTTTTTTATTTCCTCATCTGTCACTTTGGGATGCATCTGAAGAACCTCCAAGGGGTTC